GGTACTGGTGTGACGAGAGCTGCCCTACCACATATGAGGTCTGTGATTTGGACAACTTGTGTATGTTTTTTCTGCCTCAGTTTTCTCATCTGTAAAACAGGGATGTATGATAACAGTGTCTATCTCATAAAGTTATTGTGAGAGTTGAGTGAATAGAAGTGAAGCACTTAGAAGAATATTTCTATTAAGTGTTAGCTATTCTTGTTTGTGCAAAAAATTGATTAAAAAAAGGTAAAGTTAATTTTCTATATACCAATATGTATGTTAAAGGTTATGAAAGGGTCTGAAAGGACCCACAGAGCTGTTATCAGTGACTGTATCTTGAGGGGAAGGGAGCTGAGAGGGCAGTTAAGGAGGTTATTCACTTTACATGTCATTTGAACATTTGATCATGAGAAGACATTCCTATTACTTGTATAATAAGCAATATAAATTAAAGCAGGTTCCCAGACTGTACCTTGGGTGATATGCAGTGATAACAATTGGCCAAGAACACACATAAATAGATGACACAAGATAAACTGCAGTAAGCTGGGCATGGTGGTACATACCTGTAATACTAGCTACTTATGCAGGCAAGAGGATGGTGAGTTCAAGCACAGCCAGGGAAAAAGTTAAACAAAAGGGCTGGGGGCATGGTTCAAGTGGTAAAGCTGCTTGTCTAGGAAGCATGAGGCAATGGGTTCAATCCCTAGTACTGAAAAAAAAAGAAGTGTAACAACATAGCAGAAGCAGTAAAGATGGAAATTCTTCAACATTAGTAACTAGCTTGAAGTGAATGTTCAAAGACTCTGAGGAGCAGACCAGCACACGCTTGGAGATGTTACTGCTATGAAAGAAGTTGATGACATTCATTCAGCACAGTAAGACACAATAGAAGGTCAGGATTAATTCTAAGATTTTGCACTTATTAATCATCTGTGACTGGAATATAATTCACCATCCCAAACAAGGAAATATTGGAGATTAAATATGAATTACATGTGTAAATTAGAGCAACGAGTTGTACATAGATATGTGTACACACATAGACATGTCTAGCAGGCAGTGATTATTCTTCTTTGAACCCTTCCACAGGATTGACCTCAGTGTCTTAACAGTAGACGCTGGCTAAATATTGCTGACTATGGAAAAACACCATCTGATAATTTTGATTTGGAGAACTTCTCTTTGAAGTTTCTTGTTCTCATTGTGTTTTCCTCTTTCAGCTGTATCTTATATTGTAATTGTTCCATGGGCAGCATCAAGAATTCCTGATTCTCCCTGCACAGGGCCATCTTGATAGATAAGAATGGCGTAGTCTCAAGGCTGTTGCTCCTTTCAAAACAACGTTTTCTCTATCAGTAAGACCTAATTAAACTGTTATGCCCCCACATTCCTCTGAGGACTAGGCTGAGGGTGATTTTTCCAGTCTTCTAATCTCTTAAATTGCCTATGTGTCAAAATATCTCCCTGTGGCCATTATTGGTAACACCTTGAAATAAATGAATTATACCAGAGAGGAAATGCACAGGGAAAAGCCCATGCCTTTGGATGTGGATCAAAACAGCTCTTAATACTGAAGAAACAGAATCTTTTCTGCTTTGTGAACCAGTGAAATCTAATAAAAGTGTATCTCTCCTGGGTATTTTACATCATTAGCATCCTGGCTTCACACTTCGCTTTAACAAATAACTTATTTTAACAAATTTCTCCAGGGAGAAGACGAGAAGCCAAAAATATCTTGGAAGAAATCTTTCCTTAGCAACCCGATAAGGCAGTTTCATATAGTTACTAAAATTTAACTTCATGAAGCAAAACCTTTGGGATTATTTTAGCTTCTGATTTTGGTGTGTGCCAAAATTTCTTCAAAGGCTAATCAAGGACAAAAAGGTAATGTTTTACACATTAGGAACACTTTATAGTTTTCATGGTGTATTCATTATAATCTACTACTGTAATTGATCACCTATTCCAGGAAGGATATTGTACGGTTTTACATATGAACATAGAACTTAATCTTTACTATAATCCTACGTAGTATTAGGTATTACAAGTCCTACTTTACTAACAGAAACTGGTTTAGAGATGTAATTTTCCCAAGTCATATAGTTCATAAATGGCTAAAACTGGATCTGATCTCAAAGCCCATGGACTTACTTCACTAGGTGAGAACCTTAAAAAGTAAGCAAACAAGAAACTCTTTTCCATGTACAAATCTCCTTATATCTGCATTCATCTTTTTTACCATCTTTTGCTTCTTGAAAAAAGGCCAACCTCATCACAGATGCTTTATTCTCTTCTACTACACATGTTCTGAATTCCTCTATACCACACAACTCCAGGGTATGCTATTCATGAGGTATTTTCTGTGTGTGGCACCTACTGAAGCCTGACTTCAGAATACAATGGGAGTGGTGTCCCAGAAGCTGAGTGACCATCATCTCTGTGGATTTCCTCCCCTTCCACCTTACCGAGAATTGCCTCCTTTAACTATCCCATTTCCCCTCATCAATATTTCTATTGGCATATAATCCTTAAAGGGAGCCAAACCAAAAATCCAGAAAACAATCACCCTCCACTCATTCCTTTCTGCCTTACTTTTTCAGCAGCTGTCAGTATTTGCCATCTTCAAATAATCTCTTCTCTCTAGATCTGACTGTCGTTCTTTCCTTGTTTTCTTCTTATTCTTGTAGCCACTCCTTTCCTCTATTCTTTTCCTGGAGACTTCCCATCTATTCAATCTCCAAACATAAAATTTCTTCAGGAGTTTATATGAAGTATCTTTTCTTCTCCTTGGACATCCTTAAATTGGCTCACCTGTTCTTGTGATTTCAAACACTGTCTCAACTCTCTACTTTATACCTTCACCTCAGGTCCTGCTTCTGAGTTTTACTCCTATATCTAATTTTCTCCAAGACAACTGCCCTTGAATATCCTATGATACTCAGATGTAATATGTGCCAAGCCGAACTTTCGTTTCCTTGTTCCTTCCAGTCTTACCTATCTCAGGAGTCATGCTGGTACGATTGCTTAGGCCAAAAATCTGAAAATTATCTGGGATTCCTACCTTTTCCTTTTCCCTTTCCCTGAACTGAATACATCAACAAGTTCTATTTTGTCTTTATTTTTCCTCCCTCCTTCCTTTCTTACTTTCTGTACTGAGATTTGAACTTAAAGTTCCTTGCTTGCTAGGCAGGTGCTCTACCACTTGAGCCACATACCCACCCAGCAAGTTCTGTTTTATTTCCAAAATGTTTGTCATCTCATCTCTAGACTATACTAGTCAAAGCCTTCACGCCATCTCTGACTGGATGATTTAGGAGTCTTTATCCATTTCTACTTTTCCTTTGCCCCCCTTCTTATTGTTCATATAACATCCAGACATTTGCAAAATGTAAATTGGATCACATTGCTCCTCTGCTTAAAACATTCTAGTGACTTCTATTGTACTTCAAGAAAATCAACCCTGGTCTAACAGGCCCTATATGGTCTGGTCCATGCTTACCACTCCAACTTTATCACAAACACTGTGCTGAAGGGTATAAGACCACTGCTCAGTTCATTAGACAGATCAGACTTTCCTAACTTCCAACCTCTGGACATGCTCTTTCCTCTGCTTAGAAGCCTTCCCTACCCTTAACATGGGTGCCTCCATCTTCTCCTTCAGCTCTCCACTAAGTTACCATTGACTTCCACATTGTTAATAGCGATACTGAAACATGTAATGTAGTACATCTTCTTGTTCATGTCCCAAAATTCCAGCTTCCCTAAGAGATCCAAGTTCCTTGAAGTCAGAGACTGTGTCTATGTCTTCATACACCTGGAGACTAGTCTAGTGATTAACTTCTAACAGGTGTTTTATAAATGCTTGTAAATCAATGAAGCTATAAGCTGGAACCTCTTGAGAAAGTTTACTGTAGTAGTAACCTAGGTCCTTAAGTGTAGTAGACAGTAAGAGCATCAAGAGAAAGAGGTTCAAAGGTTCACACTGGCAATAACTCTTTGTTAAAATTCTTCATGTGCTTTATCTCACCAAATCTTTGATACCTGTACTTCTTAAGATTAATTTTTATTATTGAAGCTGTACTTCCTAGTCCCTTACCTCCAGATTCCCTGTCGAAAAATTCATTCAGTTATTTAATTTTTTAAAATTTTGTAATTATGAAAGGTTTAAACCTAGCCAAAAGTAGAGGAAGTATATCATAAACATCTATGTCCTTGTCATCTGCTTAAACAATTATCTACTCATAGCTTTTATTTCATCCCTATTTCCACTCACTTTCCCTCTTCAACTACTTTGAAGCAAGTCCCAGACATCCTATCATTTCCGCTGTAACATTTCAGTGCATATGAGATAGAATTCTTTTTTTTTCCTTTGGTGGGACTGGGATTTGAACTCAGGGCTTCACACTTGCTAGGTAGGCCCTCTATCACTTGAGCCACTATGTCAGCCCTCTATAGTTCTTAACGTCTGGCTGGTACATCTTCCTTTCTTCAACAGCTTAAAAAAGTAAAGTGTTATGGAACAGCATGTTGCTCCTCCGAGAAATTAGATAAGCAGACTGATGATTTTATTTCATAACTTAACTAAACAGCAAATTCTTTCAAGGGTGGGGTAATAAGAGTTGGTAGGTTTATAGCACCTAGCTCAGTGCTGGACAATCAATAAAGTTTGAATGAAAACAAACCTAATGTGCTTTAGGGTTTTTTTAAAAAATACAGTTTACATGAGTTTAGGGCCTTGTCTTGCCCTGCTTCTATCACTCTCCTGTAATCATGACTATACTGAATATTTTCAAATATTAAGTCAGACAGAGGCGGAGGGTGGACATACTAAATTCCTCCTGCCTGGAGGAACAAAGCCCATTCATTCTCCTTGCCTGAGCAGGACTCACTCACAGAGGGCGGGGCTTAGCCGAGGCCCCGCCCACTTCCCCGCCTACCGCCGCTCACAGCCCGCTCCTCCGTCCCCTGCTCTTCTTTTTTTCCCAGCAGCCTTCGCGTCGACCCGGCGTTCCTCAAGATGGCGGCTGACAGTGAGGTGAGTTCTTTGCTTCTTACCTATCGCTGTCACTAAGTTCTCTCCTCCACGTCATCGCTCCGGGGCTAAATCTCTTTGTTTCTTTTCCTCCTCTTCCCGCAGCCCGAGTCCGAGGTGTTTGAGATCACAGACTTCACTACTGCCTCGGAGTGGGAAAGGTGAGTCGCGTCTTTGGTTACCAGCAGCCTGGGCCCCGACGGCCCCCGCCGCTTCCCCAACCCAAACACAACCCACATGATTCCTGTTCGGCGGGAGGAAGAGAACCGCGGGTCCTCCCTGCGCCTCTTTTCCACGCCTGGTGTCTTGACACACCCCGGCCCGCCCCCGTCTGTCAAACTCTGTCTTCCAGAAAAAGTTTCGTTTACTCTCGGACCACTTTCCTTACACCTTTGCTCGCCCGCAGAAATAATTTCCGAGTCCATCACTACCGCCCCTGTGTTCATTTGCGTTCATCTCACTTGTTATCCCAAGCAGTGAACTTCGCGGCTGCTGTTTTCGGATCAGGCTGTCAGAATGTTGATGGTTGGGTATCTGCCACAATCACACCAGCTCCTTCATCCTGCCTTTCAGAATAACCTTTTAAATTTTTTTAATCATGAAGTCTGCATCTGGCTTTTAACGCTTTGATGCAAGTTGTTAAATTTCAGTGGGTAATGTGCCTGGCTTCCTGGGCCTGTCCAACTCAGATGGACAGCTGTTTGGGTGAAACTCTTGTGACAATGAAACTAGTTGAAAGTCAGGTTTGTTCAGGAGTGATAGGTTAAGAAGTTTTCTGTTCCGTTGCACAGAAACCTTTCAGTTTTGTGGGTGTTGAAGTCAGTATTTAGATTGTTGCAATAGTTTTATAATCTTTCCGATTGGGAGATATAATTTATGGCTATCAGGCCAGTAGATAGCATAGGAAAATATAAAAAGATCCATGCTGGAATAATAGTTGGACCTGTTCTGCTCCCTCCTGCCCCCTCAAAAAAAGGTAAGACATAACCACACTGACAACTACCGTTCGTCCAGTACTATACTGTATGTGTGTGGGGGGGAGATAACCCCCAAAACTTTACCATATGTTTTTAAAAGTCCAGCAAATAGTTAAAAAGTAAGTCATTTGGTACTACAGTAGTTTCAATATGGATGATGATGTACACTACAAAATTGTTTGAGATATTTTTGTAGAAAAGAGAAAATGAGCAGCTTTGAAAATGGGAAGTGGAAGCAGACACCAAGTTACATGCCTGTAATTCCATCTATGGAGAGACTGAGGTGGAAAAATTGCTTGACCTAAGGAGACCAACCTGGACAACATTAGAGACAAATGTGAGAGTGAACTTTTGGGACCTCATGAAAGAAATGCAGAGTGAAGTGCTATCTATAGGAAATAAATAAGATTAGTAAGAAAGTGGGACCAGGTTATGGAGAGCCTCCAAAATACGTGAAGGAATCTAGATTCAGTGTGTTTGACCAGTGGTTCTCAGATTTTGCATCAGAATCATAGATTGCTGGGTTCCCCTCTCAGAGTTTCTGACTAGTAGGTTTGAGGTGCAACACCTCCCCCCACCACCAATTTTTTTTTGTAGCATGGTCCCAGGTAATATAGATGCTGCTGGTCAGGAGATCACACCTGAAAAAGAACAACTGCTTAAGAAAATGGTGAAGGATCCTTGATTTTAGAGTGGTCAGGTGTTATGTTAAGAGTTATTTCAGGACATGAGTTAAATGAAAGATGGTGATTTAGAACTGGAGAGAAAGGAAGGATTGTAAGATATTTCAAGATTTAGGTAGGTAAGTTTGATATACATCACAGCTGTATCACAGTAGTAATAAACTGCAGTTTATTACCTGAAAGAACAAAGATAAGGAGGTGTCATAGTAAGGAGTGCATTTTTGGACCTGTTAAATTTGAAATTGATGTCTTGAAGGTAGTTAGAATAATGGAATTTGAATCTTGGAGGATGAGGGGGTGAGGAAGCATCAGTGTTTTGAATGGAAAATGATGGCTTTCTCCTAGTTAAATATTTAAAATTTCCTGAGGGGAGTATTAAATTCTTTTCCTCCTCATATGAGAATAATTGTTAATATAGTTAAGAGGACTATCACAAAGTAGGAAACTTAGTTTTTGTCTTTTATGTTCTTTTTCATAGAGCAAACTAGTATTTTATAATTTATAAGAAAAATGTTAATGCTTCTAAGTTTTTTGATCCTTAAGTTTAATGTTTGAATGTAAAGTTCTTGTCAGTATGTTTTATATGTTAGTCAGATAATTTATTGAGAGGATTAAGTAGAAGTCTGTAACTCTTTATCATTTGTTAAGTATTTACTGAATGTCCATGTGTGAAGCACAGTGAGGGACATTAGAGATTTAGGATTGTGGTAGTTTTTGTACAGTCTAGTAGAAGAGACAGACATGAATCAAATAATACAAATGAGTCTGTAATTAAAAATTGACACAAGAGCTAGGAAAGGAAAGAAACTTGGTCTTACAAAAACATATAACAAAAGAATCTAATATAGAATAATTAGTTAACTGGCCCTATAGCTAAGATCTGGAGAGCTTTTAAGGAAAATACTACAGAATTTTTCTAGTCAAATCTCAATACCTATAGATAGAGTCTATTTTTTCTCTTTTAATTAATTTATACAATAAGTATTTTCATATACGTATGAATTCATAAAGTATTTTTGCTCTGAAAGCTATATTTTAAATTATTTTTATTTTAGCAGTAATACCTCATATTAAAAAACAATACCATAAGCCTACCACAAAGATATAACTTACTAATTTTTTACCATATTTCTGTTGTGAGTGTTGTAAGCTTTTTGAATGAATGCTTGTTTATATAGCTTTTTACAGTTAACGTATGAACATTTTGTTTCCTCAAATGTTCTTCAAAACAAGATTTTTAGTGGGTGCTTATTAGACCGTTCAGTGGATGTACTATTCACAGCAATTAGACATTAAGGTAGCTTCCAGTTTTTTATCTTTACAAGTGCAGTATACACTTACTGCTTAAAAAAATATTTTTTTCTTTTGTGCTTGGGATGGAACCTAGGGCCTCATGCATACCCCTCGCCTCCTGCAGTGTATAGTTCATGTAAAATTTTGCTCACCTATGGATATATAGTAAATTTTAATTTATTTTGTAAATATGTAAACTTATTTCTAGAGCACCTATTTTTTTTTTTCCTTTTTTTTTTGTTAGTACTGACATTTGAACTTAGGGCCTTGTGCTTGCTATGCACATGCTCTACCACATGAGCCACACCACCAGCCCTGGAGCACTCATTTACGAACTAATAATTGTCATTTGACTAAATTCCCCCAAAATGAATTGGGAAAAGCAGTTAACACTGCTTTTAATTTGTTTTTTTGGTTTTGAGATAGGTTCCGGCTAACTTTGGGCTGGTTTCCAACTCAATATCCTTCTTTCTCCATCTCATATGTAGCGGGATTACAGGTACACACCACTACACTTGACTACGCTGCTTTTAATTTTAAAAAGTAATGAGAAGATTTAGTCTAATCATAAGCTCTGATTTACCATTGCTTTCATTACTGTCCTAAAGCAGATGTGAGCATTAATTCATAATATAACTGAAGAAAAACATCTGAGGCATTTGAATAAAATTTGGCTAGAATTAACTACTCTAGCAATACTACCTAGAGTTTTTAGGAACATTATTACTAATATTTAATATAAGAAGTAAGTTTGACAAGTTTCTATTTGCTGATGTTGAGCATGTTGCTAGTCAAATTCATTTTGCTATTTATTTATTTATTTATTTTGGCAGTACTGAGGTTTGAACCCAGGGCTTCCTGCTTGCCAGGCCTTTCTTGAGTAAACAGTAGACTTAGATGAATCAAAATTTAAGAACAGGATTATTCTCAATAGGATTATTTCTGCTTTTACTTCATATCCATAAATTAGGCTAACAATATTAAACTTACTGAGCCTTCTCTAATCAAAATGTTAAAATAAAAATCTTTAAAGAAATTGTACAATAATGTACAGCTACATATTTACAAAGCTTTTTTTCCTTTCTTCCTAGGTTTATTTCTAAAGTTGAAGAAGTCTTGAATGACTGGAAACTGATTGGAAACTCAGTGGGAAGGTCACTTGAAAAGGTCAGACTATTTGCTGGTGTATCTCAATTGGTATTTAATTTGAAATCTCTATTTTTAATCCCTTTTCTGCACTTGGCACATTTGAATTAAATGTTTAAAAGTTATAATCTATAAATATCAAATAGCATGTGAAAGAATTTGGATTTGATTTGTGGCAAATGATAAATGTAAGACACTGAAATCTTTTAAATAATAAAGTTTTATATATGTATATATATAAATGCCATTCTTTGTGTGATTTTGTTTCTTCTTATGTTTACTTTTCTTTTACCTTATCCCTTGAAATGTTAGAAAATCTTTTTCAGAGTTTTTAATCAATCAGTTTTTAATCAAAGTTTTTAATTTCCTGGGTAGGATATTTTGCTTATTGAAGAAAAATCTTGTTAAAACTAACAAGTTGTAATGACAGCTGTTTTACTCAGTTTTTGTATTTTATGATATCACTAAGTAACCACCCTCATCCTTTTTAATGTAAAGCTGTCTTGAGGATTTATGTAAGAATGAAAAGGCATGCTTCAAAATTGAGGTGGAACTAGAATTCTAATTCGAGGTACTGATAAACGACACACCCAATGTTTCCTGAAGAATGTATTCTGAAAACAAATCTAGATTTTCTCAATTCACTGAAGAGATCTAACAATTTGATCTTAAGCTTATGTACATGCTTAGTTTGTTAAAGTCTTCTGAGGTAAAATTGATCATTGTTATTACTATAACCTGTTATTAACTCAGTAATAATTTAACTGGGATTTATGCCCCATAAAAAAATTCTCAGTTGTCAATATTTGCTAGGGTTTTTCACTTTTATGTTGGTGATAAGAAAATTTGAAGCTATGGAAAAACACTAGAACTTTTTTCTTTGTCCATATGAATATGAGCACTAAAAGTAACAGTACATACAGAAAACATACATCATTTAATGATTTGTTGGAATATATAAATAAATTGATATTCTGTGTTAAAATATTTTTCTTTTAATTTTTTAATAAAATGTGAAATTCTGTTGCACTTGAAACAAACATATAACCATTGATATAGATTCCAGTAAGATTAAAGGCAAAATAAGCTAGATATACCTGAAAGGGGAAAAGATTTGCATTAACAAAATAGAGCTAAGCCAGGTACTTGTGGGCTCTGATATGACATTCTTTAATTCTTTCACTTATATCTATTTACTGAGTACCTGCTATGTGGCAGATGGAAGAAATAGTGAACAAAATAAGATCCATGCTGCCACTCAAGCTAAATTCTAGTGAGGGAGAAAAGTAATAAAGTAAATAGATAAGATTAAGACATTAGATGCTAAATTTGATTTTGGGATTGAAATGGGTAATGTATTTACTGTAGGTAACATACTGTAGTGGAGGCTGGAGGGTTAGCTCTGGCCCATGTCTCCCTATTAGATAGTACACAAACAGATACGGAAAACTTGAGCAGATTTCGAGGTGAGCTGAAATTATGAATAAGAAGAGTAAATGACAAGTATTTGGTACAGAAAAGAAAGTTCAGGTAATTGCCTTAAGAGGTTTTCATTTATGTGAGATACAGTGACTACTCATTCTCTTTTGCTGAGGGAGAATTAAAGGAAGTTATTTTAAATCTTTAACTCTGGAAAATTTCAAACATACAAAGTTAATGTTTGTATAATGAGCTTCTATGTGCCCACCACCCAATTTCACAATTAATTTTCTGCCGTTTCTTATTAGCAGTACCTCTCTCTACTTGTTTATCTGTCCACTAGATTTTTTTTTTTTAAACAATTTTTTTTTTCCTTAGGGTTTTGCTAGGTAGTCCAGGCTTGCCTCAAAGATACTCCTGCCTCTGCCTCCAAAATGCTGGTAAATAGTTTGTAAAAGATAAAATTTATTTTTGTGTAATGCATAAAACCTAACTGCTTAATTTTGACAAATTTCACACTGATGTAATTCACATTTCCTACATACAAATGACAGACATTTTTGTCATCCTAGAAAGATATCTAGTGACTTTTCTAGTTAATCCCTATTCCCCTAGGCAATTTCTGTTCTGTTTCCTCCCTTCCCAAAACTATAGATTACATTTATCTGCCGTAGAATTTCATATACAGTGTCCCCCTATTTCTTTGAGGGATTGGTTTCATAACCCCTCATACACTAAAATCTACAAATCAAGTGACTTAGCTATGTTGCCCAAGTGGCCAGGAATTTATAAGTTTAAGTGGTTCTCTAGCTTTAGTCTCCTAGGCAATTTTTTTTTCAAATATTTTATATCTAAGCTTGGTTTAATCTGAAGATATAGAGCCCACAGATATGGAGGGCCTATTGTGTATTGTATCATACAGTTCATACTCTTTTGCCTAGCTTGTTTTACTCAGTATTTTGATGTCTAGGTTGTCCCGTGTAGCTGTATTTCATTTCATTTTATTGCTGTGTACTACTGTTCCACTGTTTGTTCCACTTAATGACAGACATAGTGAATAAATGTTGAATATTTTCTTGGATAAAATACCTAGGTGTGAAATTAACAACTAGGTCATAGATAGATGTATACTTAATTTTGAGATACTGCTGAAGGTTTTTGTCCTATTTTACTCATTAATACATAAGGAGTAAAGTTACTCTACTTTCTCACCAGTTATTTTCACTCTTGTCAATTTTGGTCATTCTACTGGGTATGTAATTTGTAGTTCTAATTTGTGTTTTTCTTTATGTTTATTTTGTATTTCTATGATGAATATTGAGATTGATGACTTTTTCATGTCATCAATCAATCAATCAATTGATCATCAATCAATGTTGTATGATATAATTCTGACTGGAATTGTTTTGAAATTTTACTTTTCAGTTGTATGCTAGTACATAGGTACACCAGGAAATTTTGTATGTTGACTTTATATTCTAAGACCTGGATAAACATACTTACAAGTTATTAATTATAACCACTTTGTTTGTTCATTTTCTATATTAATTATGTTGCTCACAAATAGAAACAGATTACTTCCTCTTGAATTTCTGTATCTTTATTTTGTATTTTAATTCCAGTAATCAGGACCTTCAGTAAAATGTGAACTAGAACTGCTGAGAGTAAACGTCATTACCTTTTTACTAATTTGAGGGGGGTAATGTTCAGTATTTCAGTGCTGAAGTTAACTATAGGTATTTCATTAGTATTAATTAAAAAACTGAGAAAAGTTGGCTCAAAGTTTGTTTGATCATGAATATTTAAGTTAGTCAAATCTAATTGACATAATTGTATGGTTTTTTTTTTACTTTGAATATGGTAAATTATGTCAATTGAACTTTTTATTGTAGAATAGAAAGATAGAAATAGAAGATTCAACATTTTAACCAATTGTAAGTATAAAATTTAGTGGTATTAAGTACTCTTACATAGTGTGCAACCATTATCATTTTCTGTCTCCAGAACTTTTTAATCAACCCATACTGAAGCTCCATACCCATTAAACAATAACCACCCCCTTCTCTGTTCTTTTCGTAACCATGGTTTTTGTCTCCATGAATCTGACTAGTCTATATACCTCAAAGAAGTAGAGTCATATCATATTTTATGTAGCATAATGTCTTCAGGGTTCACCCAAGGTTATAGCATGTAAGAATTGCCTTTTGAGGCTGAATAATATTCTCTGTGTATATATCATATTTCATTTATGTGTTCATGCATCTGTTGATGGACATTTGAGTTGCTTACATCTTTTGACTATTGTGACTAAATAATACTTCTATGAACATAGGTGTATAAATATGCTTGAGTTTCTGTTTTCAGTTCTTTTGGGTTTAAATCCAGAAGGGGAATTGTTGGGTCATTTGGTAATTCTGTTTTTAACTTTTAGTGAAGAAGTACCATACGTTTGGTTGACTATAAATTCTGTTTTTGTTTCCCTAAAAGAATCTTTAGCTTGTTTTTGAAGGGTAGTTTTATAGAATAATTCTGACTTGACCATTATACTTTTCCAGTTCATTAAAGACATTGTCTTCTGTTCTCTATAGTTTCCAATGTAGTTATCATATTTCTGTTCTACTTTGTTGTTTTTCTCTCTGGCTGCTTTTGAGACTTTTTTTATTTAAAAAATTTTTCCTATTTAAGCCACCTTATGGTGATGTGTATAAGTATGTTTTCTTTGTGTAAGTTTTTTGCTTTTCAAAATTGGGGGAAATTTAGGTCACTATTTCTTCAGTTCTTTCTCCGCTGCCTCCTACCATCATTCTCTATTCTTTTTCTTTCTTGGATTATATTCAATGTTTGACCTTAATACAGCCTCAAAGGTAGGTCTCTGATTTTCTGCTATTCTCAGTTATATTGATTGATTGATTGATTGATTGATTATGGCAGTTCTGGGCCTTGTGCTTGCTGGGCAGGTACTTTACTACTTGAGCCACATCCAAGCCCTTTTTTTGCTTTTAGTTATTTTTCACATAGGGTCTTCTGTTTTTGCCCACAATGACTTATACCTCCATGTAGCTAGGATCACAGGTGCATGCCACCACACCCAAGTTTATTGATTGAGATGCAGGTCTTGCTACTTTTTGCAACTTGTGGACTACAATCCTCCTGATCTCCACTTCCCCAGTGGTGGGGATTACAGGTATGAGCCACCACACCTGGCCACATTTTCAGTCTTTTTGCCTCTCTGTTCTTTTACATTTTTTATTAGTATATGTCAGTTTTACAAAGAGAGCTCATTGTGATATTTCCATACATACATATAATGCACTTTGATGATATTCACCATTTATTACTCTTTCTTATCCCCTCCGTTTTTATGTACAGTTTTTAATGGGTTTCATTATTCCGTTTTCATACATGTATCATATTTCCCCACCCCGTCACATTCTCCTCTCCTCCCCAGTTGTTGCACACCCTCCAAACATTCCATTATACATTCATATCTTCTTTCTTTCATTTTAGGTTTAGATTCTACACATGAGAGAAAACGTCATGTTTGTTTAACATGATGTTCTTCAGTTCCATCCATTTTCCTGCAAACAATATAATTTCATTCTTCATGGCTGAATAATACTCCATTTTATATATGTACCATATTTTTTTATTCTTTATAGTTGATGGGCATCTAGGCTGATCCTATAGCATTGCTGTTAT